GATGTGAAAGAACACATGTGCGTTGTGTCTTTTGATTGCCTATTTTATTTTATGTTCTTGGACTCGGAGTTGAAGCAGACTAACTCATTGTTAACTGTATCCGCCCACGCAAAGCCTTTCTTCTCATTTTTCCCACAACCAATATATTCGGAACATAAACATTGACGTAAATTACTGTTCATCAATTTTGACTAACAGCCAGCTCTCACCACACTCGTCCCCCTGTCAAAGAGTTGCAACTAAAGTTGGTTCGGCCTTCTTGGTTCTAGGGGCTTTTTTCATTTGTGTTGCTGTCTGGAATCCGCGACTCGCTGATGTTCACCTGTGTTTCTCTTTGTTTATCATTGTGATTGTATCTGTGTAACCCCATCTCAAAGTGACCATATGTGGTCCTTCCCACCTACTTTGGAAACTGTTTGCCTAACCCTGTTGCACATTTCGCCTTACACTTTCATATTCTGCTTTCTCCCGACCTCCCAGGAGCGTCCCAAGTAACAGCCTCATCGCTGAGAGATCTTGAACTCCAGTGAACTGCGCTGAAGCCTCGAAATCCTGTCCGAAGATCCATATGTCTCCATGAAAAACTGCAGGGCATAGGCTTTCCATTTGTCTGTAGGTAGTGACACCAAATGTAACGAGAACAGAAGACAATGGCCAGGCAACAGATCGTTTATTTACGAAATCAACACATATTTATAGATTTTCATGTACATACGTCATTATAGATTATTGTTAGCAGAAAGACAGTTTTCTGTTTGGTGGTTATTTCCCGCTGAAAGTTAATCTTTCATCTCCTTGTGGCTGTTTCTTGAATGTCAGATCATCTATATGTTAACTATATCCGCCTACTCAAAGCCTTTCTTTCATTATTCTCACGACCAATATATTGGGGACATAAACACTGACGTAAATTACTATCCACCAATTTTGACTAGCAGCCAGCTCTCACCACAGTCGCAGTAGCAGTAGTGTAGATAAAAATATTGTGGGGATTTGTGCCCGTTGTAGCTTTTATCAAATGGAAACTTTGTGTGTGTGTGTGTGTGAAACAAATGAGTAAGTTGTATTTCACATTTACCCCCTGTTGTATATGATAAATTTTTCAAAAAGGTGAAAAAATTTGCAATATATTGACTCTGATGTGGTTGTGTTCTATGAGCTGGATAGTTAATTTGCGAAGCTTTCATCACCCTACTAGGCAACATCCTTACCTCAGCGCATACTACTTCAATTCGCTGAAGTGAGTTTTCAGATTTCTCCACGAGTTTATTAATCATCTCTCCTGGTGACCACTTTGGACGTGATCGGTTGTTTATGTGTGTTTTCACACCCTCCAGGCAGCTACTTGTATTGGAAGTGATTGTTTCTTTGAATTGAACTTTGACCCTTTGTGTGTGTGGTTTCTTTCTTATTTGTTGATAAATTTTGTCTATCTCGATGTGTCTATTGATTGATGATTCACTGGAGTACTAGACAGGCTTCTAAAAATTTTCTAGCATTCTTGTTATTTCCCGTGTCTAATATTTGAATGTAAATTGTCCCAGTCGAATTGATGTCTGTGGTTGTCTGTATGTAGTGATATGAGTGATGGAGTGGATATCATGTCTTTTGACGGCTAGTTTATGTTCGTGGATACGAAGACGAAGGGTAAGGGCGTCCACTTTGGCCAATGTAGTGTTTTTCGCAGTTGTTACAATTTATTTTCTAGATGATGTTGGTTTTATCTTCTTTCGCTCGCTGTTGAATCTTTTGGTTGACATAGAGCCAGCTGAGTGAGGTGACTTTGTTAGTTTGTGTACGACGTCAATTCCTAGAGGTTTGAAGCGTCTTCCTTGTAGTGATTTATGAGATATCCTTTATATATGGTAAGGCGATTTTCTTTGTGCTTTCCTTGGTTGGAGCTTTCGGTTTGATAGGTTGGCGGCTTGGGGGTATATGTCTTTTGGTGAAATTCCGTGGATATCTATCCATTCTTTTGGAAGACTGGCGCCCATGAGATATTTTTCTTCAATTTTCCTTAAGGTGGGAGTGCTGCAATGAGTCCTGGTTGGCCCTCTTGAATAGTGTTTGTATGCAATTCCTTTTGTGTGTTGTGTTATTGGATTGTTGGTGTTGTAATTCAGGATTTGGTCTGTGTGAGTTGATTTTCTATAAACTTGTGTTTCTAATTCCCCTGTGGGGTTGTTCGCTTGACTAAGACGTCCAAAAATGTGATTTGGTTCTCGGATTCCTCCTCTCTTGTGAATTTGATGTCGTTTGAAGACGTTGTTTATTAAGTTGTGAGTTTTATCTAATTCGTTTCTTTTGATTATTACAAAATGTGTCGTCGACGTAGCGTATCGAAATCTTAAGTTTGATCTTTGGTAGAATTATGTTTTCGAGCCTTTGCATTACTGCTTCTGCAATCAAACCTGATATTGGCGATCCCATGGGTGTTCCTTTAATTTGGTCATATATTTGGCCGTTGAATTGAAATTACGTTGTGCGCAAATTAATTATCCATGTCAGAGAACACAACCAAATCAAAATCATCCACCTGAGCCACAAATCTTCTCTATCATATCTAAATATATTGACTTATTTGAGAGAAGAAGGAATAAATGCGCGAGTAGGTTTGGCATAAATGAGATGACTCACTGACTGACTGGTTTCAACGTAGAACAACTTTGCATAGATGTGCAACAGCATTTCCAGTTGCCACACTCCTTCCATTGTAGCACACAAACCAAGAAAAGAGTGTTTAGAGAGATTCAAAAGACAGATGGTGGTATATAGAAGTGTAAGTGAGGGAAATAAAATAGTTTTTTTGGATATGACTACTCACAAAGAGTGAATGCATCTGCACTAGCTATTGAGAACTATTTTGCGCTACATCACCAATTGTCTCCAGCCTTCGTTGTTTCTTGCCGTCCCTAGGACTCCAACGAGTGAGGCAGTATATACCTCCATACATGGTTGACCAGCTTAATCTAACTGTTGTCGACTTGATTGACTGACGAAGCCATGTTTTAGTTCGATCAGCACCACCACTAGCGCTCTTTCCCAGCCTCATCAGTTCTATGTCAGCTAACATTATGTGTGGTTGAGGAAGGCGATCGTTGTCTAGAGGTACCATATGCCCTATCTCAATCTGTGTAACTTCCCCTCCTTACCTCGCTCTAGACTGAAGCCTAACCTCAATATTGCTCACCTTATTACACCACTTAACACGGGAGGTAGAACACAGACACGTATGATCAAAGGCTGCTAGCAGGCCTTTGTGTATCTTCCGCTTTAAATGGTCATATCTCACTGGCAGCCATAAAGCAGGACGGGGCGGACTGCTGAGCACTACACATACTCTTTGGTCGATAGTTGGTTGGATATCACGTCTACTAAGTCAGAGATGGTGTAAGTTGGCGTATGCCAAACGAGCCTTGTGTATGTATCCGTGCTGAGATTTCGTCGGTAATCAATCCACTGGTGTTGGCTGATGCCACTCTTCAAATAAGTGAAACGGTCGTTAACACGCTCTAATAACTGGTCTAAACTCACTTTTAATAAAGATTACATTTTGTACAATTATGATTCCCTTGGTTACCAAAATGGGACATAAAGCTTTAGCTGCAAAATTCCATTTCACTCTGTCCTCTGAATTCCTCCATGATTGTTAATAAACTTCCACTTCCTACTTAAACGATCTCCAACATGTCGAATTAACACCAAACTCATCACTCTCCAATCGGGTCGTATAACGTCGAGTGGGGTGGGGGTGGGGCTATTTGGCCCATGGTGTTCATCAACGGTCTTCTGCAACAGGCTGTTGGAAATGCATTTTGGAACTCAGTGCGTTTCTGCGATACTCTATTAATTTTTTGCAGTAATCTGCGTAAACAATTACTTTTTTTGTTGACTGTATCCTCGATCGATAGCTGTCAGCTTGATATGGCGGTAGTCACTCTCGCAAATAGCGCTAACCCAAAGAACTCTACTGGCTGATACTAATGTTTTTCTGTAGGTCGTTCGGAGAGTATTCAGACTAAAAGCACTCACCATCATCATCGGGAAACGTGTTTACACGCTATTACGGATCTGTTGACAAAGTTGTTCTGCTAGTGAATAGCAATGGAACAACAGTAAAGTGTGTTTCCCTCAGATGACCAGCGTTCCAGCTATGCTGTCTGTCCACTCTGGAGTTGGGATGTGGGGGCGGGGGAAGGTTGAGAAAGATCGACCCCCAGAAATAGGACAACCCGGTTTACTATACATACGTCAGTAAGACCTCATCATGGACATAAATTCAAAAAGCTAGTCGATGTGTATGTATGACCACCGGTCTCAGTTGGTTGTTCCCTGGACTCTGCAACCAAGCAGCACTAGCACTGCTACCTCCATTTCAGCTACTCAGCCAGTAGATTGTCTCAGTAATTATAAAAATCCAAAAGTAGGTTCTGATAAACTTGAAGACGATGATGGAATCACAAATTCAAGTATTGCTTTGTAAGGATTTGGTTGATTGGTTACAGGATTTCATCGTGAGCTGACATTGGTTGGAGAACCATTGGAAAACCTGGGAGTACTGGGCAGCCGTTTCGTCCTAGTTTGGGACTCTTTATCAGTACGCACCACCGGGGTCGAACCCAGAACCTTTTGGTTACAAAGACAAATACCCACCGAAGACATTGGCTAGCGGTTGCACTATATCGTGAACTGGCAGAAGTTAGAATTCATGGGCCATTGGATCGGGTCCCAGTGGCTTAATGGTCTACGAGTTCGCCTTGTAACCAGAAGGTCGGGTTCGAAACCCGGTGGGGGCGTACTGATGAAGAGTCCTATACTAGGACGAAGCAGCTGTCTAGTACTCTCAGGTGGTTTTTCAATGGTTCTCTAACCAATGTCAGCTCATGATGGAATCATAAGTGTTGGAAACTTGTTCATCCTTTTTAATTTGAGTGATAATTAACACTTTCCAACTGCTTAATTTTATTACGTATCTAATCTTTTTTCCCCTTCCTGCACAGTTACATTACCCTCAACTTCAAATCCATGCATATTTTGCTCCCGGGACTCCACCTGCATTAACATTTGCCAGACGACGTCGATATTGTAGATGTTGTCGTATCATTTAAAACGAAAAAAATCAAAAACAAAACAAAACGGAAATTAATATGTGATCTTTTTTCAATTCATTTATTTATTTTTTTCTCTTTTTGGTTACATAATATTCATTCATTTATTGATTTACTTATTTATTGATTTTGTTTTTCTTTCTTGTTGTTAATGTTTGTTTCTATTGCTTTTGGAGCCTCTGGTGTGTTGACTAGTTTTTTAATGTTTATCGATTTTCTTCGTCTGTTGTCTGTTCCTTGTTGTTTGTTTCTTTCTTTTTATGTGTATCCTTTCTCCTCAGGTGAGCAAGGTGTACTAGGCCCCTACCCCCAGCTTCCGTGATCTTACTTACTGTTCTTCATAAAAGAAGAAATAATACCACCTGTGTGTGTGTGTGCGTGTGTATATGACTGACAGTAATATATATGTGTACAGTGTTTTGAATGAAATCGGAGATGGGAAGCAAGAACTGCAGCAGACAGTACAAAGAAGGAGAAGATATCGTCGTCCAGTCTTTCTGCTTTGTTTTTTTGTTACTTAAAGTTCTTTTATTTATTTCACACACACACACACACATCCGCGCCCCCCCACCCGGCTCCAACTGTTTCTTTTTACTGCTTCTGTTGTCATTTTTTTAATGTATACACATTGTGATCAATCTTTATTTATTATCACCACTATGCTACTATGTACCATGTTCATATATATATATATATCACTGATTAATTACCGCCCCGTCCTCCTGGTCCTCTGCCGCCCGTTCACATATACATATATATATCCCGGTCATTGACCTATGCGTTTATCAAACATATATATATCCTGAGTGTCTAAAGGCCAGAACTTCACCGAGTTTCTGTGTTTGTTTGTTTATTTGTTAGTTGTTGTTTGTTGTTCTTCTTTTTTCATCATCCTTGTGCTATTTCTATTTTGGTTTTTTCTTTCTTTTGTCTTGTCTTGTCTGTATTTTGAGTGAGTGTATATGAGTGAGCGAGCGGGCGAGCGCAAGCCTTCTGAGCTGAAAAAAGAAACAAATAACTGTGACATGTTTATTATTATTATTATTGCTATCATTGTTATTGTTGTGTGTTTGTGTGTGAATTTGTTCTTCATGGCGTCTTCTTCTAAAAGACTCCTTACAACATAAATATTTATACATATATAAAGATACATGAATAGGAGGATACAATCGTAAACAACAGCCCCCCTCCCCCCTTTATACCGCTATGCTGCAATACTCTGCGTATGTGTGTGTCTGTCTGTCTGTCCGGGGGGAGGGGGAGTTTCTTCATCGAAAAAAGAACAATTGACACACACACACACGTTTATATATATGTATAATTTTTTGTATTTTTTTTTGGCAAAATATGGCTTCGCTTTTTAGCATCTCTCATATTCTTCCTCTTCTCCTGGTCCTCCTCTGTCTCATTACACATTTTTCTTTTCATTTGAGGTAAATAAAAACGGATAGGAGAGCAGCATCGTCTATATTACTTCTTTACACACATACATACACACACACGGAGAGAGGCATGAATACAATGACTTCTTTGTCTCTTTTATTACGACTATAATTACTATTATTGTTTATTATGTTTGTTGATGTCGTTGTTTGTCGGTTGTCTCGTCTAGGTTTCTCTGAGACACTTGTATTTTTGCTTTGTTTTTTCTCTCTGTGTGTGTGTATGTGTTTGGTGGTCAATGTATGTATGTATGTATTGGTTTCTCTTTGTTTCGGGTGCCCAGCCCAGCTCAGATGTTTATGGTTGTCCACGTTCACGTATGCTTGAATATATATCGAGTTCTTTGTGTACGTGCTTGTATGTGTGTGTGTGTGTTGCGTGCGTGCGTGCGTTTGTGAACGCGTAACTAACTGTGTTGTTCTGTCCTGATCTCTTTTTTTCATTAATCATGGATAAACACAATGTAAAAAAAATCGATGTAAAACGACGTCGTTAGATATGATAGATATATACGGGGAAGGTGTTGTCAAAGTTGAGACTGGGATTGAGGGTTCGTATTAGTAATGGTAATAGTAGTAGCACGCACAACACACTCACTAACCTGGCACACTAACTGCGCACATAAACACAGACAGATAGATAGACAGCTATTGTATTGCTTTCTATTGGTTTCCTACACATAATATACATTTAAAAATACATTATTATTATTATCTATTATAAGCGCGCTGATGTGGGACGTATTCATTGTAATCTTGTACATTATTATTATTAATTGTTATTATTATTCTTCCGGAAAATAGAAATAATAAAAGTTGATGATGTGTGTTGTTAATCACTTTTGAAAAATTATTTTTTACTATTTATGTACTGACCATTCCATGTTGGTTTCTTGTAGATCCATTGATCTTTGAAGAGAGAACCATCAGATCTTCTGTTTAGAAAAAAAAATGGAATTCCGAGTTAATCTCTGATTCCGACGAGAACTTTGGTGGCATGATGTCATCTGTTGAACTCTTTAGTTATCAATTCTATGTCGGTATTGTCGTTTGGACTTCGCCGATGATATATATCTGATTTCCCATAAACTCGAAGATATGCAAGTGAAAAGCAACAAGTTGACCTGAGAAGAAGCATCAAAGATAAGAAGGACTTCAAGTGAACATAGATAAAACAGAGGTGATGAAGATTCCTGGCCAACAGCAACAACAATCAGCCAGCATGAATGGGAGGAACTAGAAAAAAACAACCTCCTTTACCCACCCACCTGGAAAGCATCGTTTCAACTACAGGCAAACGGAACTGATGAGGATATCAAATGGAGGATCGATCGGAAAAGCAAGACAAGCTTTCATTACTCCCAAGTCTGTGCGGATGTCGATAGCACTACTCAGCATGAAGATGAAAATGAGATCCGGATTTTCAACTCCAATGTGAAGTCAGTGGTACTCACTATACGGATGGATCAGAGACTTGGCGCGTCATAGAGAGCACCTCAAACGAACTACAGACCTTCATCAACAACTGTTTTCGCTCAATACTCAAGATCAGATGACCAGCCAGAAAAGATCGGAAACAGGGATCTCTGGAAATGAGCGAACCACCTCAGCAGGAACCGATTGTACAACAAATATGCAGGAAGAAATGGAGATGGATTGGCCATATTCTGAGGAAACAAACCATCAAGTGAGTGACATCACTAGACAAGTCATCGCTCGAGTGGAACGAGGCCAAAAGAGAGGCGGCGAGTTGGTCGTCAGTGCAAGGGTGATTTTGAGGAGGTGAAAGTATGTGGGCAGACCTGGAGCCAGGTGAAAACGTTGGCAGGAAACCGAAGGCAATGGAGGGTCGCAGCTGAAGCCCGATGTTTCTCTAGGAATTAAAGGATATAATTATTATATAATAATAATTGTCGTCACATGTATCCTTTGGTACAGATGGAAACTGTCGATAGTAGGCCGTAAAATACTATTCTTCAAATTAGCCAATAAGTAGTCTGCAAGTAAAGGACCAGTTCAATTGCAAGCCTTGTCATTAGGTCCAAAATTCTGTGATATTTCGACAAATTCGGGTGACTTGGACATTAAAGTCCAGTTTGAAGCACTCAATGCAACAGACAAATGACCTTCCTGCAGTGTCCAACAAATCATATGAACAATTGAAGTCTACAGTATTATTAAATAGCTGCCATCAGTACATCAAAACGAAACCAAACGTCAAAAGATTGATTTCAGCCGAGCACAGAATGCAACTACGTGAGATTCTAAAGAACAAAGACTTGGTTGTGACACGCCCCGATAAAGGTTCTGACATTGTACTGATGGATCGCCAAGACTACATGGATAAAATGTTATCAGTCTTGTCGGATGAAAACAAATTTTCAAAAGAAAGTAGCCAGAAAGACTAAACGGAACAAATTGAAAGCAAGCTAACACAAATGCTGAAGATCGATTATCAGCTCTGAATTATTCGAGCAAATACGACCCTCCGGCTCCATGATTCCCCGTTTATATGGTCTACCGAAAGTGCACAAAGGGAATGTGCCAACTACGTCCAATCTTGGACATGACAAATTCCCCATATCATGCTACTGCCGAATAGCTCACAGAAATCCTCCTACCTATCAGAAATAACCTCTGTACGCATAGCGTTTCTGATTCGTTTGAATTCGTCGATTCAATAAGTGATGCTAATGTATCCAGGAAGAAAATGATATCTATGGATGTTACTTCGCTTTTCACCAACGTTCCTCTCAGTGAACCTATCTGCTTTGTATGCAAATTCATTGAGGATAATAATGTAGACGTGTGTGTTCCGATTCACTACTTAAAGGAACTACTAGTGAGGTGCATTCTAAATGTCCAGTTCAAGTTCAACAACACGATTAATAGATAAAGAGATAGAGTGGCAATAGGGTCACCATTAGGTCGTTTACTTGCAGACTACTTATTGGCTAGTTTGGAGAATAGTATTTTACGGCCTACTATCGACAGTTTCCATCTGTACCGAAGGTACATACATGGATGATACTTTCATCATCATCATGTAACGACAATACCGACATCGAATTGATAACTAAGGAGTTCAACAGCTGCGATCATGCCATCAAGTTCAAGTCGGAATCAAAGATTAACTCGGAATTTCATTTTTTGGATTTTTTCGTAAAATTAATTCTCATTTCAGTTTTGTTGATTGCAAGTTGAAATCATTTAGCGAAAGAAACATTGAAAACCAGTACTGAAGTGTACTAGAAAGCTATTTAAACCTTAGTCTCCGCAAATTTTCATCAGTACGCCTGCCAACTGTAGTTGTTCGGATGCACAACTTTCCGGTTATCAGCAGACGAGCTCGTGGACAATTAAGCCACTGAGACCCCCGATCTAATTGCGTCAAGGATTCTATCTTCTGTCACACTATAACAACAGAAGACAAGGGCCAGGAAACAAATCGTTTATTTTGGAAATCAACACATATTTATAGGTTTTCATGTACATTATTATTATAGATTATTGTTAGCAGAAAAACACAGTCCTCTGATTGGTTGTTTCTCACACACA